AAAAGCTATTTCATGTTACATGAAAATTACAGTTCTGCAATATCTTCTTGGTATGGCTTTACTACTGCTTTAAAGAATTACAATTTACCTTATATTTTGAACAGAACAAAGTTAGGAGGTATTAAATATGCCCAATAGGGCAGTAAAATTGGAGTGAAAAGTAGATGAGAAGTTTCAAAATATACTTGGAGGGTCAAAAGCATATATGGAGAAAGTACATTTGGGGACAGATAAAGTAAAGGATAAGTAGCCTTAAAGTACAGAGGGAATCTGACCTTGGCCAAGAGGCAGGTTAAAATTGGGGTACTGAAAGTCCATAGATAGAAATTTACACTTAGCTCAAAATTGCCACCCAAATGAATGGTCTTCCTTTAGCAGTTAACCTATAAGCAAAAATAAACATAATTCAAAACAAAAAGTGTGTGGTTCTTATCTCAAAAATGGAAAATGGTATCTAGAAAGAATCTCAGCAGTTGTTGTGGATGCTTCAAAATAAAGCTCACTGTATTATTGAATTTAAAGGTATCTTTCAACAAGAGAGTCAGCTCTTTGTCTTAGCACATAGAGTAAAATATTCCAGTCAATAAGATCTACTCAGGTAGTGAAGGCTCCCCATTTTTCTATTTTCTCATTCTTACATATAAATATATTAATGATCACTAGCTATATGAACAAAGTATACAGCTCCAAAAGAGAAAATGACAAGGAAACAGACACATTTCTTGGAAGATATCCTATAAATAAAAGCCTAATATGCTAAGTGTCTGGTCATCTGATCATCTGTTCAACCAATCAAAGCATAATATGCTAATGATATGCTAAGGCAGCTCAACTGCTCGCTATGATGTGCACTGACCACCATGAGGAAGACAGTCGACCAGATGATCAGTCACTTTGATGGACTATGATGGACCAGTTGCCATGACATGCACTGACCACCAGGGGGAAGATGCACCGACCAGTAGGTGAGCTTGCTGCTGGGGTCTAACTTATCAGGACACTGCAAGACAGGCTGGACATGCCATGGAGCCCTCCCATGGCCCCTACCAGGCTGGCCTACTTCCTGTGTCCCTCCCTGGCCCTGATAGTGCACTGTTGGGGTCCCACAACCTGGCCTGTGTCCTCTCACAATATGGTACCCCTTGGGGGATGTCAGAGAGCAGGATTCAGGCTGATCCCACAGGCCAGGCCAAGGGGCTCCACTGGTGCACCAGGCCTGTAGTAACTTATAAAAGCTGAAACACACAAAACATGAAAATTCTAATCATCCCCTGTATCAATCAAAGAAATTAAACCAATTATCAAAAAATTCCCATAAAAGTAACTCCATGGCTAGATGACTTTCCAATTGAATTCTTCAAAACATCTTAGGAAGTGATAATGTTATTTTTCCAAAAAAGAGAAAGAGTACCTCTCAACTTATTTTATAAGACTTGTCTAACATTGCTGTCTAATGCTTAAGAGTATATTACAAAAAATACTAACCATTTTCTGTCATGAACAAAGATACAAAAATCCTAACCAACATATTAAAAAAATCCAAAGGTCTATAAAAAATACAAGACATAATGACCAATAGGATTTATTCAGTAGTTCATAAATAGTTTCACATTCCAAAACTAATAGCTATAATTTACCACATTCATAAAAAGGAGAAAAATAATATAATAATTTTAATAAATGCACAGAAGCATTTGAATATGTTCAATGTCTATTCTAATAAAAACTTGATAAATGTGGAATAAGGAGAAATTTCTTAATCTAATGAAGATGATCTACAGAAAGTCATACAACTGATATCACATTTAAAGATAACTTAATGAAAGCTTTCCACTAATTATCATCACTTCCATTAAACATTATTTTAGAGGTTCTAAGCTATACAAAAATTTTTAATTATAAGGATTAAAAAGTGAGAAACTACCTCTACTGATGTATGATGATGCACATAAAGTAAATATATAAGATTCTATAAACTATTAATATCAATAGGTGAATTTAGCAAGGGCACTGGTTATGTCCTTTATATAAAAAATCTGCTATATTTTATATGTCAACAACAAAGAGAAAATAAAATTAAAAATGAATCCCACTTATAAAAGGATTACAATGTCAAATGTCTGGGATTCAATCTAATAGAACATGTGCAGATTCTCTGTATTGAATACTGCTTCATAGTACTATAAAGATATTATAGAAGACTTAAAAAATGGAAGGGTGTAAGATTAGATGAACCAACATTGCAAATATGTTAACTGATCTACAAATTCAACAAAATTCCAATTAATATTCTAGCAAGCTTTAATAAAAATTGACAACTTGGTTGTAAAATTTATTTGGTAAACCAAACAACCAAAAATAGCAAAGGCAATCTGGACTAAGAAGAACAAAGTTGGACGTTTTACATTATTAGGTCCCAATTTTTAAAATAAAACAATTGTCCCTGGCTGGTGTGTGGTGTGGCTCAGTTGGTTGGGTCTTGTCCTGTGCACCAATAGGTTGTGTGTCTGATTCCAGGTCAGAGTACATCCCAGGATACGGGCTCAATCCCTGAAAGGGGGTATGCAGGAAGCAACAGATTGATGTTTCACTTTCACATCAATGTCTCTCTCTCTCTCCACTCCCAATGTCTCTCTCTCTCTAAAATTAAAAACAAACACACCTTTAAAATCAACAAAGTTCTGATACATGGTACAACATGGATGAGCCTTGACAATATTATGTTAAGTGAAATAATCTAGATATGAAGGGACAAATAGCATATATGTGCCCACTAATATGAAACATATGCAATAGGTTCATTCATAGACACAGAAAATACGTTAAATATTACTTTGGGAATTGGCTGAATGTGTAGGCGATGGGGGATTCTTGCTTAATGATTATAGAATTTTGGTTTGGGGTGATGAAAAAATTATGGAAAAATATTAAGGTGATGTTTGCACATCATGAATTGAATAAATGACACTGAATTATACACTTAAAATCATTAAAATGATAAATGTTATATATATTTTGTCACAATTTTAAAAATAAGTAAACCAAAACCATTAAATTGTATATTTTACAATGAGTGGATTGTATGGAATGTGAATTATCCTATATAATAAAAGCCCATGACCGAACGGCGGAACAACCAGAACGACTGATTGATCAGTCCCGATGATGAGCAATGACCACCAGGGGATAGATGGTCAATGTAGGAGCTGCCCCCTGGTGGTCAGTGCACTCCCACAGTGGGAGCACCACAGGACTGACAAGGATGAGTGGTTGCTCTCTCCAGCACAAGCAGTCACTCAGAGGGTGATTCCACAGTTGCTCAGCTGACTGGGATGAGAGTCTGCTCCCACTGCAGCCACTCAGCTGACAGGGATGAGCAGCACTCCCACAGCAGGCAGATCCCTGAAGGCTACACCCCCACCAATGCACAAATCCTATGCACTGGGCCTCTAGTATCTCAATAAAGCAGTTTAAAAATGATTGTTATTAAGCCAGTGTGGTAGTAGTTGAAGGACAGATGTAATGAAAGGGAATAGAGAATCCAGAAGCAGATTCACACATTCACGTTTACTTGACTTAACAAAGTTGCCACAATAGTACCATGGGTGAAGGACTATCTTTCCATAAATGGTAAATTAATTGATGCTGCTTTTCATCATAAATTCATTCATATGTGCAACTTGTTTTTAAAGAATAAGTATGTATTACTTTGATAAACATATTAAATATTTTATTTAAAAACTATCTGAGGTAGAAAGAAAAAGACAAGTTAAGTAACAAAGTAATTAAATAATCCTATATAATAAAAGAATAATATGCAAATAGACCAACCAGTGGAACAACTAGTTGCTATGATGTGCACTTACTACCTTGGAGCAGATGCTCAATGCAGGAGCTATCCCCTGTTGGTCAGTGCACTACCACAGGGGGAGCACCACTTAGCCAGAAGTCAGGCTCATGGCTGGTGAGCGTAGTGGCAATGGCAGGAGCCTCTCTTGCCTCTGTGGCAGTGCTAAGGATATCTGACTGCTGGTTTAGCGAAACAGGCCTAAGCCATCAGTTGGACATCCCCCAAGGGCTCCTAGACTGCGAAAGGGTGCAGGTCAGGCTGAGGGACCCCCTCCACCCCTGCTGGCAAGTGCATAAATGTTGTGCACTTGGCCTCTAGTCTATGCTAATAAAAGGGCAATATGCTAATTAGACCGGATAGATTGGACATCTTCCAGTTGTCTGGTCTTCTTTCTGGACAAAGCCATGGTGGCAGGGGCCCAGGCAGAGGGCAGAGGTAGTTAGGGGCAATAAAAATAACAAGGGAAAGCAGTTAGGGGCCATCAGGCTGGCAGGGGAGGGTGGTTAGGGGCAATCAGACAGGTAGCAGGTGAGTGGTTAGGAGCCAGCAGTCCTGGATTGCAAAAGGCTGTCTGACTGCCAGTTTAGGCCCAATCCTGCAAGGGTACCAGATTGGAGAGGGTCTGAGCTGGGCTGAGGAACCACCGCCCCCCTTCCCCAGAGCACAAATTTCATGCACAGGGCCTCTAGTAAATATATAAATAAGCAAACAAAATAAAATACCTTTTGTAAGTTAGTATCCATTTAGCATTGATTAAGTCCATGCTATATGTGAGGGCAAGTAATTTTGATTTATGGAACATGTTGAACTGGACCACTGCCACCTTGTTTAAATACTATTATTATACTCCCGAACACTGAATTAATTAGTTCATCGTTTTCTAGTCCCATTCTTTATAATAATTCATGCGAAATAATAATGTTGTATATTTTGCCATTTAGTCATTTATGTACCATCACCCACCATCACCATTATTCCCCTCTAGAACAAATCATGTGGTCAAAATCACTGGTCAGGTTAAAAAACAAAAAATATATATACATATAAGCCCCCCAGCCATATCTCACCTATAAAACAACCATTAAACAAAACAAATACAAACACTTTCAACATTTAACACATGTGACAGAGCATATGGTTAATGTCTAACCTTTATCCACTGAAGATTTGTCTGCTTGAGCTTCTTTTCAAGTTTATCTTGCTCTTCTGGGCTTATGGGAGCACTGACAAGCACTGTTCCTCCTGTTTCATTTAATTGTTTTAGAATTCCCTGGCGCAGGGGTAGCTCTTCCACGAGTAACTAAAACGGACAAATGGAACAACTTTAAAAATGAATTACAGCACAATGCCAACTACCTTGTCTTTGCCTCTATTGATTAATCTATCAAAACGAAACAAGGTGTCCAAAGGCCCCATGGTACTTCAAATGCCAACAGATTTCCACAGAGCCGATGGACTGAAACACTCACTCTTAAGCAGTTACACCTATTCTAGAAAGGACTATGATATCTTATCCTTCAGAGGTTTTTATTTTTTTTTAACTTTTTTGGGGTGTGTGTGTGTGTGTGTTTCCCCCAAGAGAAAAATGTCATGTGGTATCAGCTCTAAAACAATACCACAAACAGAGTTAAGAGTATGAAAACACATCTCTATCAAAAATAGAACAATCTGACCCTAACCAGTTTGGCTCATTGAATAGAGCGTCAGCCTGCAGACTGAAAGGTCCCAGGTTCTATTCTGGTCAACGGCATGTACCTTGGTTGCGGGCACATCCCCAATAAGAGGTGTGCAGGAGGCAGCTGATCTTTATTTCTCTCTCATTGATGTTTCTAGCTCTCTATCCCACTCCCTTCCTCTCTGTAAAGAAGCAATAAAATCTATTAAAAATAGAACAATCTGGATAAATTCCTCATACGCTCAGGCATTAAGCCTCTGTGCTATAGCATGTTAAGAAATAACTGACACTGAGAACATACCAATAACCAAGCATTGTGCTGAGCTCTTCACATATATTATCTCAGTTAATTTTTATATAATAATTCCATGAGGGAGATCCTATTATCTTCATCTTATATAGAAGGAAACTGAGACAGAGGCAAAGTACTAGATCCAAGAACAAAAAATGTAGGAAGAATAGCACTGTGATTCAAACTTCGGAAGTTTCATTCATGAAACCTTATTTTTCACTCACATTCATTAATTTCTCTTATTCAGCATCCTATCTAATAAAAGAGTAAAATGCAAATTGACTTATTGACTGTCACTCCAACACAAGATGGCTACCCCCATGTGGACACAAGATGGCCATCACAAGAAGGCCAGCAGGGGAGGCAGTTGGGAAGGACCAGGCTTACAAGGGAAGGCAGCCTGAAGGAAAAGGCTGTTGAGGGCGGGGGCGGGGGGGGAGCCAGGCCTGTAGGACAGGGAAGTTAGGGTTGACCAGGCCTACAGGGAAGGGCAGTTGTGGGGACCAGGCCTGCAGGGGAGGGAAGTTTTTGGGATCCAGGCCTACTGGGGAGGTGTGTTGGAGAGGGGAGCAGGCCAGCAGGGGAGAGCAGTTAGGGGCGATGAGGCTGGCAGGGGAGGGCAGTTAGAGATGATCGGGTCAGCAGGGGAGAGCTTTTAGAGGGGACCAAGCTGGCAAGGGAGGGCAGTTAGGTGGTGATCAGGATGACAGACAGAAGTGGTTAGGGGCAAATGGGAAGGCAGGCAGGTGAGCAGTTAGGAGCCAGCAGTCCTGGATTTTGAGAGCAATGTCTGTCTGCCCGTTTAGGCCTGATCCTACCAGGACTGGGCCTAAAAGGGCAGTTGGACATTCCTCAAGGGGTCCCAGATTGGTAAGCGTGCAGGCTGGGCGGAGGGACACACACACCCTCGTGAATGAATTTTGTGCACCAGGCCTCCTGTTACATTATAAGTGCCTTTTTCCAAGACCTACTAGTAAAAATCCATGATGGTTTTAATACCTATATTTTACTTATTTGTATCATCTAGAGCTTCAGTGTTCAATACAGAACCAGTAGCCACATGATGCTATTTAATTTTAAACGAAGTAAAGTTCAATGAAAAAGAAACTCAGTTCCTCAGTCATGCTAGCTTCCTTCCAAGCACTCAAAGGCACATACAGCCAGTGGTTACTGAAATAGATAATGTAAAACATTTCCATCATTACAAAAATTTCTATTGAACAGTACTGATCCAGATTGTATAAGGAGAAAAGAAAAACCAGTGCGTATTTACTAACAAATAAATGCTGCTAAATATGTCTTTGAAATGAGTTATCAATTATATTGCTATATATGACACTGAATATATTTAGGAAAGATGAATTTTCAAGAACATATTGAGTTCATTTTTCCATGAAATAACCATACTCACATGAAGAAGATTCTAAACTTTTTTATTTTTGAATCTCAAACACCTAGTGCATTATCTGACATAAAAGGTGCTCAGTATTTGCTTCCAAGGAATATTTTTTATACTTTATCTTCTGTTAAGGTATAAGTTTGTTGTTACACAGAAATTTGTGTTTGAGATGGGAGTCTAATTTGCATGTTTAAACCAAGTGAATCATTGATAAAGGAGCAATTCCGTGCCCCTTTGCTCCTGTAATTTTGCAAAATGAGGATAATTGCGACCATTTTGAAAATGATATAAAGATGGAATAAAATAGCAGATATAAGTGCATGTGATACTTAGCACAGAATAGGGAATTATTAATGCTAATTTCCCCTTCCCTTTCACACTCAAGATTTAAGGTAAAGCAGATCTAACAGAGTTTTTTTCCTAAAACTAAACCATGTCAGTTAATCTAACTGCACAGTTAGAGCATGTCAGTCAGCCAGGCGAGGTAATCATTGATAAGCAGACATAACAAGGGGAAGGTATGAAAAACAACCTTAATAAACTGGATGTCCAGTCAACCAGTATTAGAATATGAACCAATACCACCCCTCCCAAACAAATCAAAACAAAATATTCCACACAAATTGAACACTTTTAACTAGGGACTTCAGTGGTGGGATTGGTTTGGCAATTAAGATCTCCCCTAAGAAATTTCTATAAAGATTCTTTCCAGTTTTTTAAACATTTTGGAGCTGTGAATTTCTACAATAAGTCTAAAATTAATTTCAAATTAGTTTAAAATACTGCTCTTCAATTTACATATATGTGTATGTAAAGATATACACACACATTTTAAAAAATACTACATATTGGAAAAAACTGGGTTAAGACAAAATAAAATTAAAAAAAAAAGTTAAAGTGGGAAAAAGTAGTGTGGAACTATCAATAACATAATGGGTAGAAAATCAATGATTAAAAGCATTAAAAATAGATTCATAGATTCTTTATATAAGTAAGCCTGGAGGACTTTAGAAAATAAAATTACCTTGACGTGTTCAAGTTTTTCTTTTAGCAGCTGCTCATTTCCAGGTTCAGGTGCAATAGTAGTAATGTTATCCACTTCTTCCAACCAGAAAATAAATTCATTTAAATCTCTTTGAAATTCTGACAAGATATTCTTTTGTTGTTCTAGTCTGGAGAAAGAAGAATAAAATTGTTACAAGCAACATCTTTCTCAAACTTTCCTTAAAAAAGAAAACAAACAAACAAACAAACAAAAACAACAACAAAAGAACCTCCAGGGCACACACTTTTAAGCATACAAACAATTTAAAAGATGTTTATACAATTTTTAAAGAAAATTCATTCACTTAGCGTAATACTTTCCAGGTCCCTCCATGCTGTCTCAAAGGTACATAACATATCTATCATTAATCCTAATGCCAGTACAGTTCCTGGAGGTTAATAAGCCCTCAATAAATATTTGTTAACTTGAAGCAAAAAATAAAAAATAAAATATTTGCTAAACATCCCCCAAGTAAAAGCAATCGAAATGTCTACCAGCTGAGATATATTTATCTATTTATACAATTCAATACTATATATTTGGGAAAATAAACAAATTAAAACAAATGTCACACAATCTCACTTATATTTGGAATTTAGACATGGAAGCATGCAACAGACTTACATATTTCAGAGGGAAATAGGGGGGGTAGTGAGCAGGAAGTGATAAACCTGAGAACTTACACATATACTAGTATATGCATAACCTATGGATACAAATTATAGTGTGGTGAAGGCCTGGGGAGGAGGGAGGCTAATGGGGTGGAAATGAGGGCATCTGTAATACTTTCAACAATACATTTAAATAGAAAATCTTCATTCACTTTAAGCAAAGCAATTTAATATCTCAAAAATCTGTTAACCATGAGATTAAATTGGTCAATAAAAAGTATAATTTTAAGATTTCAACAACATTAATGAATTCATGAGCAGTGTTTCCCAACCTCCTTACTACTGAAATTTAGAGCTATATAGTTATCAGTTGTTAGGTTTACCAGTATCTATCCCTGGCATTTTCCCAAACTGTGAGAACTAAGAATGTCTAGGCATTGCCAAATATCACCTGGGAGGCAAAATTGCTCTTGGTTGAGAATCACTGCACCAGAGTAAATATGTAATATGAAGTTGTATAAACAAATTAAGACACATATGCTTAAAAAACACCTTTATGGAAAAATGTGGGGCAAAAGTGAAAACAAGGGAATTAAAATAAAAATACTAAATTATCACGTTAAAATGTTTTCCAAATTATGACCCACAATCTTGTTTGAAGACAGAGGGAAAATGATTTGAAATACTTAACATATGCTGTACTAGTGCAAGTTTTTAATTATAAAGATGCATATATTGTATGTTATTGGCCATAATTTTATTCTTTTATCCTGAATGATAGCACTTTTAGAGCCAAGAGAAATTATCTGCACTTAAAAAATAATTTACATTTTTTTGGTTTTGTTATCTTTTGTTATGTTGTATTTAAGCTTTTAATATTAATATAATATACTCCAATAATTTGCACATATATAACTATAACTTAATGTAGTTTTTAAAATTGAACACATCAAATAGGCAGAAAAAAAGAAACAATGTTTGAGAAGCTCAGAAGTCCTCTCTTGCCCATCATAGCTGTTACCTCCAAGTGTAGTCAGTATCCTGTCTACTATGATTAATTTGTCTATAATAAACATGATGTATATGGAATCATATGGTATATACTCTTGTATCTTGTCTCTTTCATTCAACATACAGTTTACAATAACCATTCATGTTGTGTGTAGTTTAATTTGTTTATTCTCTCAACTGTATAGTATTAAATTGTATAAATATATAAATACTAGAGGCCTGGTGCATGAAAAGTCATGCACTGGAGGGGGGGTGTCCCTCAGCCTGACCTGCCCCCTCTCACAGCCTCGGAGCCCTCAGGGCAGGAGGCAACCTAGAGATCAGGGGAACGAGATGCCCCATCAAACCTCTGATGCTGCCACTGCCAGCAGCACAAGCCTCAGCCAGCCAGCCCTGTTTACATGAGTCTCAGGTGGTCCTGGGCATCTGTGCAACCATCATCTTAGGCTTGCCTATGCCTTGGGCTGGCCCTGGGCAGCTGGGGCCAAAGGAGACTGGGGGACTCAAGAAGTGGGTGTGCAGAAAGGCTGGGCCCATTTGGGGGAGGGCCTGGCCTTGCTGCATGCCTGCCACCCCAGTGGGGCTGAGGGGACTGGGCATTGCCATATTTGAGGGCATGGCAGTCAATTAGCACATTCCCTCCTTATTGACTGTGGGCACCACCATCTTTGAGGGTGTGGTAATCAATTAGCATATTCCCTTTATATTGGCAGTGGGTGCTGCCATCTTTGAGAGCAGGACAGTAAATTAGCATAGTCCCCCCTCATTGGCTGTTTGTGCCATCTTTGCAATGATGTGAGGGTCAGTTAGCATATTCCCTCTTTATTAGATAGTATATCTCAGTTGGTAGACATTTAGGTTATTTTTATTTGGGAGATGTTTAGCTAATTTTTTTTTTTTTGCTTCAAGTAAACAAATATTTATTGAAGGCTTACTAACTTCTAGGATCTCTAATGGCATTAGGGTTAAGGATAGATATGCTATGTACCTTGCCCTGAGGATCTCACAGTCCATGAGAGCAAACACGCATATAGACAGAGGACTATGATTCACTATTGTGGGAGGATGAGTTAGTTCTTGGACAAGGCAGAGGAGAAGATAATGGTCTACCTGGTTCTTGAAGCATATAGAGAGTTTTCTATGTCTGGAAATAAGACATTGCATTGAGAGAACTACAGTCACACTCATTACCCAAACCAGATCCAGTTATTGGGTTCATGCTCATCTATACTCAGTTTTTCTCTTTAATGAGAGTCTGTTCCAGTCTTTTTGGGGGCACATGAGGAGCCATTATCTTCTCTATTCTTAGCACAGCAGATAATTTGAACCTAAGTCATACTATATCACTGTTACACTCAAAACTCTTTATTGCTTCCCTGACTGGTCTTGCTCAGTGATTAAAGCATTTGGTCCATGGATTTAAGGGTTCTGGGTTTGATTTTAGTCAAGGGCATATGCCTTGGTTGCAGGCTTAATTCCCAGCCCTGGTCTGGAGTTGTACTGAAAGCAATCAATCTATGTGTATCTCTTTCATCAATGTTTCTCTCTCTGTTTCTCCCCCTCCCTTCCACACTCTCTAAAAATCAATATAAAAAAAAGCTGGGGTGAGGATTAATAAAATAAAATACAGAGAAACTAACAAAAATCCTCTGATATTGCTTCCCAATTCATCCACAGAAAAAGCCAAAGCAATTACAGCATTCTACAAGGTTCTAGATAGGTGCGATCCAAAATGGTAGGTACCATCACATGTGGCTGCTGAGCAGCTAAACTGGTGTAAGTAGAATTGGGATGCACTGTAAGTGCATCAAATCCCAAAGGTTTGGTACAAAGAATGATCTATGTACCCTTTTCTCACTAAAACTGTTATAAATATACAATTATTTATTAAATTAAAAAGTATCACATCTTATTAGTACTTTTCAAATTATATACAGGTTGAAATATTTTAATGTATTTATTTAATGTATCTATTTTTATAATAAGGCAACTAGAAAATTTTAAATTACATATGTGGCTCACTTTATTTTTCTATTCAACAGCACTAACCAATAAAATGTAATAATCCCTTCTTCCCCTTTCCTCTCTGACTTTATTTCCATCTACTCTCCATTTCTATTGACTTTATTTTTAAATTTAATAAATCTTTATTGTTCAGATTATTACAACTGTTTCTCCTTTTTCTTCTCATAGCTCTCCTCCATCCGGTTCCCACCCTACCCTCTGCCCTTACCTCCCCTCCCACTATCCTCATCATTTTTGTCCAGACTCTTCCCACACCCCCCACACTCCCTTCCCCCTGAGAAATCAGTCCACTCCCTTTCTATGCCCCTGATTCTACTATATTCACCAGTTTATTCTGTTCCTCAGATTTTAATTCACTTGATTTTTAGATTCACTTGTTGATATATATGTATTTGTTGTTCATAATTTTTATCTTTACCTTTTTCTTCTTCCTCTTCTTAAAGAATACCTTTTAGCATTTCATATAATACTGGTTTGGCGGTGATGAACTCCTTTAGCTATTTCTTATCTGTGAAGCTCTTTTTCTGACCTTCAATTCTGAATGATAACTTTGTTGGATACAGTAATCTTGGTTGTAGGTTCTCACTATTCATCATGTTGAATATTTCTTGCCTCTCCCTTCTGGCCTGCATAGTTTCTGTTGAGAAATCAGCTCACAATCATATGGGTTCTCCCGTATAGGTAATAAACTTTTTTTCTCTTGCTGCTTTTAATATTCTCTTTGTCTTTTGCTCTTGGCATTTTAATTATTATGTGTCTTGTTTTCCTTTTGTTTGGGGTTCTGTGAATTTCCTGGACTTGTAAGTCTATTTCTTTCACTAGGTGGGGGAAGTTTTCAGTCATTATTTATTTCTTCAAATAATTTTTAAGTATCTTGCTCTCTCCTGGCATCCCCATAATTCTGATGTTGGTACACTTAAAGTTTTCCCAGAGGCTTCTTACACTATATTCAACTTTTTGGATTCTTTTTGCTTTCCCAGTTGAGTGTCTTTTGTTTTTTTGTATTTCAAATCTTTGACTTGATTCTTGTATTCCTCTAGTCTGCTATTGAATCTCTGTATAATATATTTTTTATTTCAGTCAGTGTATATTTAATTTCTAGTTGGTATTCTTTCATATATTTGAAGTTCTTGTTAAATTTATTGGCCTTTTCTAGTTAATTCTTGAAAAACCTTATAATTGTGGTTTTGAATTCTATATCCAGTCATTTGTTTTCCTCCATTTCTTTCTTTTGTGATTTATTTCTTTGCTTCTACATTTTTGCTGCTTCCCTGAGTTGTTAGGGTACCTTAGTGTGCTAGGTGTCCTGTATGGCCCAGTGACTTGGTCTCCCCAATTACCTGAGGTTGACACTCTGGTGCACCCTTTTGTGGACTGTGTGTACTGCCTTGTTGTATTTAAGTCTTGATTGTTGTTGGTATCACTGACAGGCCTTTGGCTTGAGGATCTCCTGTATCTATGCCGGGAGAACTTTTGTGTT